GCTGATGCAATGCCTGGGTGCCATTTCCTTCTCACAGTACACCACTGTGAAGGTGTACTGAACCTTGTGGACATTTATGTTTTTCACCCACTATAATGTATGGCCAAGTCCCTTTGGTCCCCTTCTTACTCTTACATTGGTCACTGTAGCTTGCTTTGCATCCTATCAGTTTAAACAAAGAAAGTAATGTTGGAAGGCAAATATTGCTGGGGCAGATGACTTTGGTTTAATGTATCTTTTCCTGAAGAGTGGGAATGCAAGCCTCAGCTGCTAGAATATTTAACCAAAGAAGATCTCCATTTGTTTATCTGTTTAATCGCTCCTTTATCTAGGCCAGCTGCTGCTCCTGCTGCTGCTATAGCCACTCCTAATTTGAACGAAGTTGCCTTTGTATCCTAGTGGTTTAAACCTGGGAGATTGCTACCTGGGACCTGCACCCCAAATTGGTGTCTGAAATGGGTTCCTTTATAAAAATCATACTGTGTATTTTAACATAAAAGATAAGCTTTCATGATACAGTTTTATTTCAGCCTTATTTCTACTGTGAGGCATTTTATCATATTAGTTTTATGTGAACTGAAGCTTGATCATTGATTTCATAACCAAAAAATGACTTTGGTTCTGCTTAATATAACGTACAGCCTTTTGTACACCTAAGTCCTCTTTTTTAACTCATCAAGATAATTTTATACTCAAGAATAGTTATTATTCCTCCCATAAAATGATTTGGGTCAGTTTAACGATAAATTAATAATTATTACAGGGAATTGGAATCTATGACATGGTTGGATTCCTGTTAGAGCTCCTGAAAAGCCTTGGAATCAAAGTATTATTCAGAGTTTATGGTTTGCTTTTCGTCTTTTCAAAATACTGCTGTAGATCTAAGTGGTGAACATAGCATTTGTGCAACTTTCTCCAAAATTTTATCAGTCCAACTGTCTTTTAGTTTTTTTTTTTTTTTTTTTTTTTTTTTTGAGACAGAGTCTCACTTTGTTGTCCAGGCTAGAGTGAGTGCCGTGGCGTCAGCCTAGCTCACAGCAACCTCAAACTCCTGGGCTTGAGTGATCCTTCTGCCTCAGCCTCCCGAGTAGCTGGGACTACAGGCATGTGCCACCATGCCCGGCTAATTTTTTTATATATATATCAGTTGGCCAATTAATTTCTTTCTATTTATAGTAGAGACGGGGTCTCGCTCTTGCTCAGGCTGGTTTTGAACTCCTGACCTTGAGCAATCCGCCCGCCTCGGCCTCCCAAGAGCTAGGATTACAGGCGTGAGCCACAGCGCCCGGCCTTGTCTTTTAGTTTTAATACTTCACAGAAATAGCATGTTCATCATGATGACAAAGCACCTTCAAAAACTATGCTGGTAATTACTTTTCTGTGGCCCCTTTTGAGACAAATGATCTTACTGGACATTGATTTGTTTAGTCTTAAGAAATAGACCTTCCGATAGGAGAGAAAGCAAATTATGTAATAATGTATGAACTGACAAATAAAATAGGACTGAATTTTATATTTAAGCAAGTGAATGATATGATGTGAATCTAAAGCCTCAGTGAAAATCCTTCTGTCACACAAATGTGCACATTGAGCTCTGTGCTGGCATTGAAGATGGAGTTCTGCAAAGGCTCCATGCACTCAGTAACAACACTTCTCCGAATTACATTAAACCAGTCAGGACATGATGAAAGAATGCAACGTATAAACCCCTTGAGGGCCTGTGAGTCACCTTCTCGAAAGATTCTTGAAAGGGTAAGAACGTTTTGTAGTTTGATCAATAGGAGCCTGAGAAGTAGGCTTCAGGGTAAGGAGATGGTGAGGATTAAAAATTTCTGGACACTTGAAGAATCGAATTACCACCCTAAGAAAGTTCCCAAGAGAAAGGAAGAGGCAGAAAGAGAGACTTTTTCATCACATCTCAACCAGCAACCAACCAACCTTCTGGGTCAGAATCCAGCCAAAGTAGATTTAATGATAATCAGCCCTTAGCATCCAGCCCCAGTGCAGAACTGTGGCCTGCATAGAGTTTGCTAGAGATCCAAGTGCCCACGTCCAACAGGAAGTAAAAGGTTGGGTTGCAGACTTCAAAATTAGAGTAGCTTTTCCATGGACTACTTCATTAAAAGAGGTTCTTAATCCATTTTTCCAGCCAGAATGAACTTTTACTTTGAAAAATGTATGAAACAGTGTTGCACTTGGGTTTTTCCTCTGTCTTGTTATTGTTATTTTCATATAAGTTGTCAAGCTATTGCATTCATGTGGTTATGAGAATTTCGATTATGTCTGTAAAGGATGCAGTGAGTGTGATGGCATAGTCACTGTCACAAGTACAAAAGTATAAGTAAAAGAGTCTGGCTAAGAATTTCTGGACTCAGAGTAGATTCTGAGAGTTATTGCCACTTCTTTGGCTTTTTATGGATCCTTAGAAATACACAGAATCCTATCGTGAGACCTTACTAGATAAAAACTCAGACTTCCAAGGTAAAAACTCAGAGCTATGTATGTGGTATGCCTAGCAGATCAGAGTGCTAACTGCCATGTCAACAGTGGGCTTCTGTCCTGGGCAGCGGGGTAGATGTGGCCTTGAGGACCAGGCATGATGGCCAGGAACAGGAAAGGGTATGTGCCCCATTGAAGAACTCTTGGCCTTAGTGTTGGAGTTGCATACAGCCTCAAGCCCCTTTTCCATTTTCCCTATCTGGGTTACACAGAAGAGGCTTCATGTAGAGAGCAGTTCTTAGTGGATCCAATCAGAATTATGAGGAAAGCTGATTCTCTTGATGACACCCCCAAAGAAAAAAAGCAGGAGATAATGACAAGGGGAACAAATGAAGGAGGGAGAGTTGAATAAAAGGTGGTCAGCCAAGGCTAGTTCTTCATTTGGTACCAGTCCAATCAGTGCCTCTGAGGGCCTCACACCCTCTTGCATTCTGTGATGAGTCTTTGTTCATGCCAAGAACTGGGCAGCTGGCAGCCGCACCCTACACAACAAGATGTGAAGAGCCTGTAAATGAGGGTATTCTGTTCCTGGATCTCCTCGTAGGGTGAAACGTGCAAGTGCCCACATAGCTAGGTAACCTTAAATACCATCGTTTCCTCTTCCTGAGGAGCACCGAGAGGAATCTTCATGGAGCATAGTATGACAGCTACTGCCACATGGGGTTATCACAGGTTTTATGTCACAAATAATACCTTTCAAGCATGTTGTAAAAGACCCACTTCACAAGGACATAAAAACACTTTTATGCAAAGATCAGGGGAAAAAATGATACTTTTGAATTGAAATTAAGGTGCATGCTCATTTATGAACACCGTGATAGAGGTCATGTAGAAATAGCAGAGCTTTTCCTCAGTGGATTGAAAACGGGTAAACTCCCCTCCTGTTTGGTGCTTTCTGCAGTTTGATTCCTAGTTCAGGCCCTTACTCTAACTCACCAGTAGGGGAATAGGGCCATTCTGGCATGTGTAGGTCTTTCTGGGAAAACCAGTGAAACGGGTATCACAGCTGCCCTGTTAAGAACCCAAGTTCACCTAACCTGGGTCCTAAGTCCGGGCCAGCCAAATGGTACTTTTATAAGACCCTCTTCCCAAACCAGCCCTCATAGGCAATCTATCTTCTGAAACATTGTGTGTTTCTACTGGGGAGGGAAAGAAGTAGTAAAATAGATTTTTGTCCAGAAACACTTATTTTCAAAGGCTGATTTTAGGCCTCGCTGAGAGAGATGCCTTCATAGAAGGCAGTTATCTGTGAAAGCCAAAGTGATGGTGTTCGAAATTGACAAAGGGTCGCGGTCTTAGCTTTTCTCCAGGAAGGTGACTTTCTGTCCATGGATCTTCCGTTTCCATTAATCGGAAGTAGTCCTTTAAAAAAAAAAAAAAAAAAAACTGGAGGGAAAAAACAAAACAAAACAAAAAAATAAACCAACCTCCTGTTCCATGCCCCAGGCAGTCTTCTTGTGTAAAGCAATCTGTGGCAGCGAGTCAAGTATCCTGGTAGGAGTTTTCCCCTTGAACTCTGGCTGCAGAGCTTCTCACAGTTTCTCAGAGAAACATCTTACAGAGCTCCCATTTAGGTCTGCCCTTTCTCTCCTGATGTCTCTCTCGGTTTCATCTTCTCTTCTCAGATCCTTCTTTAGGGGATCGTTTTGCATGGGGAATGTATAGGCATGGGCTGACAGGGATGAGGGGTTTTCTCTCAGTCTGGAGAAGTTAGAGCATGCATAAGTGCTCCTGGGAAGGGGCAAAGGAAGCAAAAATGCTGTCCACCAGTTTTCCACATGCAGTGTGTGCTCTTATCCTCAGAGTGACCTTTTGCCCTTCTGCCACATTGCTCACCCAAAGATCCCAGGGCCCTTGATAACTATTAGGCATTTTCAGGAACTGAAGTGTAATGCAGGGGTTGTTGTTCCTATTTATAGAGTTAAACTAAGGATGAAGGGGAAATTAGCATCAGAATAGAATCGTGATTCAGTTTTTAAATTTTCATCTTTAAATCAAACTATATTCCTCCCAAAACTAAGAGTTATAGCCACTTAATGAAAAATAATTCCTGTGCAATGTTTCCCTGTATTAAATTTGCAATGGTTATAGTAAATGCAATACTTTTGTTAACTCAGTGTGTTTAGACTCTTAAAACGAGATGTGTTGAAAGAAAGGTTGCATTTAGCTTTCTCTCATGCATATAAATTTAGTGCAAGCCCTTGTGTTAAGGAGCTTTATGTGGTTGAATTGACATTGCTTAGTAAACAATTGAAAAAGTTAAGCATAACCTAGAAGTCATTTAAAACTGTGAGTCATTTTCCTGACAAGCCAATAAGGTAAGAGAACCTGGGTTGCAAAATAATTACTAGCCCAGCCTTAGGGACCCTGGAAATAAATTACAGGTATCAGCTAAGAAAACAAAGCAGTGGTGTTTTACCACTCTGCAGAGAACAAGCTAAGGTTGCTAACCAAACAAAATAACTTTACACTGACAATGCCAATTTTTACATTTGTTTCAGAACAAGGGACGCTCAAACTACCGGAGGTAAGATTAACATTAAAACATTTTTATATAATCTTTGCATTTCAAGTTGTTTGCTAACTTAACCAGACTTGAGCTTTTACAATATTAAATGTGCCTTTTAAAAATGAACAGAAAGAAACAGAAATAGGGGGAGCAACGACATGCCTGTGAATGAAATGCACAAGTTAAAAATCAGAGGGATTTTCAGTCTCTATCTGAAGATGTTAGGTGGAAGAAAAATGTGAATATTTAGTGTAAGACTGTGTGTGAAATGGGGCACGCAGAACAGAGGGAAGGGTGGCCCTGATCCGAGGAAGTTGGTAGACATGTCCCCGTCATGAAATGTGTTGCTGCCCAGCATTTGCCAGTACTGAAAATTCTAACATTGTTCATTAAGGACATGGTTTCATGTTCCTAGTAGTTTTCCATTTGAGCACAAACATGATTGGTATCATGTCCTATTGATAAAATCATGATCTGATGACATTTCCTTTTAGTTTAACACAGAGTCTGACTTCTAATGGCTTGGAAGTATGTGATTCCTATTACCTCTCAGAATAAAGTTACTTAAAATACAAAAAGAATAAAAGATATGTTAGACACCAGGCAACCATTGCCTTGCTCTTTAACCAAAAATAACAGATTTCTCACCAGAAACCCCATAAAATACCATAGCAAAAACAGTAAAAAGAAAAACCATAGCAGAGAAAAATAAAACATAAAATGTTTGTGATTAGTTATGTGAACCAAAAGTATAATAATCTGAGAATTTCAGAGTAACAGAATGACAATAATTATCAAATTATTTTAACATGTAAGAATTGTCTCTTTAAGAGTGATGTTGATAGTATGTTTTTAATAAGCTAGCATTTATGTAGTTGGTAAAAATAATGAAAAATACAGCAAGATGTCATAAGAGGTACTTGTTTCTACTTTTTTGTGTGAGTATATAATTTGTACAATAGGATATTAGGAGTGTGCTATGAACAAGCTCATATGCATCTGTTTAGTATATTCATTGACTGTATTTTATAATCTTGAGTCTAGATCAAGGAATGCATAACAAAAAATATTTTTTAAAAATAGGCCACACACGTTCTTTTAGGGCTAAAATAAATTAACCTAAAATTTCCTTTAGTGATTCGTCAACAGGTAAGATTTTTTTTCTATCAGCTATTAGGATTCTTCCAGCAGTGACAATTGACTTCTTTCACTTACTCTCTCATGCTGTTATTATATTATTGAAACAGATACCTTGTAGAGCTCTGAACTTTAACTCAGTATTACTTAACGTTTATCTTATTAGTAACAATTATATATATATATAAAATAATATTTATATCATTTTTTCCAAGGAAGAAGGTTTTGTTTTATTTTAATTAAGTAACGTGAAGCGGGTGTGTTTATAGAAAGAAAGTGTGCTAATAAGTGGTTAATAGTTTTCACATGATATTAAATAAGCCTCATGGGTACTTTTATACTCTTGAAAAGTACATTTAAGCTTATTATGAAAGGAATTAATTTTACATTGATTTTTTAAAAACAGACCATCAGTTTTTTAGTGACTTACTTAAAATACATGTAATTTTTATTTAATGTGTGACTGTGCTAATAATCTCTACTTTAGATGGAAAATTATAGTTAGCTCTTATACTGGCCAGTTCATGTGGAAACTGGTTTGGTGTAAGTAGGAAGCGTGGCAAAAGAATATAAAGAAGCATATACAGATGCTTCCACAGATAAGGTCTTCCACAAATAAATAGCGAAGCCCTATTTTAAGTGCTGTGATTTTTATTTTTCCCCCTCTTTTAAGGACCTTCCTTCTCTCCATGTACTGACTTACAGTCCTTTTCTATTTCCCTTTCAATAGCTATGATTGTGAATTTTTTATTTTTTATTTCATGCTTTATTCTAAGGTAGGCCAGTGTTCAATAGCTATAGGATCCATGGGCCTTCATGACCATACCTGGGATGTTCACCTCACATCCCATGCTGGAGCAGACCTTCAGAAAGCCCCGCTGGCTCCAAGAAGCAAGTTTATCATTTCATATCTGTGTAGTTACTTTAAATTCGTTCCACAAGTTAAAACAGGCAGAAGAACCAAAGCCAGCTTCCATAGAATATAGCAAATGAACCTTTGATTGCTTTGTTGGTAAAATCAACAGAGAACTAGTTTTTTTTCCCAAAAGAGGCAGAAAAAGAGAGCTTCTGGGATGATAAAGGTGTTTTTTTTGTTGTTTGTTTGTTTTTTTTTTAAGAGAAAGACAAAGTAATAGGTCACGAAGCAAGAAATAACCACCAAGTACTTATAAAATTAGGTTTGTCTGGGGGTCCCCCTCCCCCATTTTAGGTAGATCAAAGGAGATGGAGAAGGTTCTGAAGACTGATTCTTATCACCGTGAGGACCATGTGGGGCTGCAACTGAGAAGCCCCTTTGGGGCGGGGGGACTACCACATGTGCCCTCCCCTCCTGTCTCCCCTTCCTGCTAGGGACAAAGTCCTGTCCGGCTCTTCCCTGGGCTTTTGAGAATACAGGTTGGGGAGGGGAGTATGTGGACAGAGATGACAGGATGACAATTGAAATTTGCATTTTAAAATTGTTCAAAACTTTCTGATAAGCATTTCTAAGTTTTTTATAATATAAAATACTTTTTAAGTCCTTTTTTAAAGTATAAAAATTTTCATATTATCCAGATGCATTTGGTCTTATGAGGAGTTGAAAATTCCTCCCATTTTTTTCTTTCTTTTTTTGGATTTCTTAAATACATCAGATTATAGTTCATTATAGTGCCCACTCTTCCTATAGAAAGGTTTGTGTTTTCAGGGTGACTGATTTTCAGTGACTTTTCAGAAGGAGGAATCTAAGACATACCTAGTAAGGCATTAACTTATTAGAAGAATTAATTCCTGATGTGAATTTAAACATGCAAAATACCATGAAGTTAATAATAATGATAATAAGCTATCATATCACTTAATAATCCTTACCATTGGCAAGAACTATTCCAAGGACATGTAAATTAATTCATTTAGTTCTCACCACAAATCCTATGAAGTAGGTACTATTGTTATCCCCATTTTATAGGTGAGAAAACTGAGACACAAAGATATAAACTAACTTGCTCATGATCAAACAGGTGCCAAGTGGCAAGAACTGAATTTAAACTTAGGTAGTCTTATTCTAGAATCCATGCTCTTAATAATTACACTGTGTTGCGTATTTTAATCCTAAATTCAAAGTAATATAGAGTTGCTTTTGAACTCAGGTTCTCCTTTTCACATTATAAGTTTATAGTTTCTAAATGGTACCAGTTTAGGGATTCTAGGAATCAGACCAAAATGTTGAATTCCTTTCTTGCCTTCCTGGCACTTTGATAGTAGAGGGTATGAGACCAGTAGAAAGACAGCTTCTATTGTATGTTAAGAAGGTTCTGGGACCCTGCAACATTTGAGCTTCTTCTAGACCTACCCACTCTCCCAGAGACTTTAAAAAATTAAAAAAAAAAAGGTAGTGGAATATTTAGGAAGAAAATAAGGGCAAGATACCCATCATTATATATTTTCCTGTTGAAAGTATTGTCAGATGTGTCGTTCAATGTCCTTTGTATAGAGAGCTCTAAAAAAGAAATTCTAAAATCTCAGGTAGAAAAGAATTTTTCTTTGAAAGCAGTTTTTTTTTTTTTTTTTTTCATATTATCAGATCTGAATCTGTAATTTATCTTGCTTCCCCTTTTTGTAGCTTGGCTACCAAGAAGTCCAGAGCAATATTTTCCTCTGTGTCTCAGGGACTCTGTCTGTAATAGTATACCTGATGCAGCTGTCCATCTTGCTCACCATAGCTTCAATGTTGATGTTAATGCTCATATTAGTTTTTACAAATCGGTGTTGAAGGGAGTTGGGGTAAAAACAAAAATGACATTAAAAAAATTTCTCCAATTTGCTTTCATCTGAGAACCCTGAGAGTCTGCTAGAAATGGCTCTGAGGCCCTTTGGGAGGCTGAAAAGCCCAATTTCACCCATTTAACTTGTGCATGAGAACAGAAGGAACCCTGAGAAAAACCCATGGCTAATGTGTGCTTAGCACGGCCAAGTGTGCTCTGAATGATACCCAAACTCCAGACACCAGCACAAACCCTCACACACATGGAAAGAAAATGGCTTTCATGAAAATCTAGATTATATGATAGTCATGGACCCAGTATTTCATCTAGCTGTGTAATAACAAATGAAAATCAAGTCTTTCTTAATTAGTGAGATCACTATAGTTATTAGGTGGGAATGAATTTAATGCCTATGAAATCTAATGTGTAGCCATGCATTTTCAAAGATTTAAAATCTCTTGTTTTGCATCTGAGCTATAGTTTTTGTAATGCATATTTTTTTTTATGGATTCTTTATCTATAATAACAGTTACCTTTTCTGGTTCATGAGCTGTATGTTTTGCTTTTTTAAAAGTATTCAGATACAACTGGTCTTAATTAAAACACCATTTTCATTTAAGCGTTTACTAAAATCAGAGCTTTAGGTCTTTGTTTTGAGGTTGTGTACCCTTTTCAGTCTCTGGTCTGTCAGGCCCTGTAAATAGGTGAGTTAGAGTTTTAGATCAGTTTAAGGCTATTGCTCATATATCTTTGCTGGGAACATTTTCCAACCAAGAATGGCTGCTTGGGCTTTGTTCTCCTAGTTCCTGTAGTGCCTATGACTCAAAAAAAAAAAAAAAAAAAAAAATGAGTCACAATGTCTGGAGTTAGCAAACAAAATATTTCCTTTTTTTTAGTGTTACAAGTTATCGATGACTTATTAAATGTAACAATGTTCAGGTGGAAGACTTATTAGGGAAACAAAAAGCAAACTTTAAAACTATGTTTTGAAAAAATTTAGTCATGCTTTATTTGGAAAAAGTGCAACATTCATTGGCTTTCCAAAGTGTCAGAAGTAATATAATTTAATAATGCAAAATCACCAACACATCTTTGTTTTGTTTTATTTTTATGCATAGAAACGGACCAATGGACTCCGAAGAAATTCCAGACCGGTGGATCCAGGTGTGTTTCTGATTAAACGTCCTGTAATCATGAGTTCAGTTAAGTGATTAGGAAAGTGTATGGGAATTGCTGTGGAAAGTCAGGCATATTGTTGGCCTTTGTTTCTCACAGTTTGGTGTATAATGTGTGACCAGGAGGCCGTGGTCGAATGTGTAAATCATTCACATGGTGAGTAACCACCAGTACCACACACTGTTTGCAATCAGCAGTTGAGCTGGTTATTTGCTTACTGAACAGCCTCAGGGTGCCTGGTTAATGCTCACATAGCCAGCAACCTCCCCCTGTGCCCTTCTAAATCCGGTAAGGAAATCACCCAGCAGGCTGGCACTTAAAAATTAACGTTTTCTAAGTGAGTAGGGGAGAACATAAACCAGAAAAATTAGACCCTCCCCATTTCAGAAAATGTCTTCATCCTATATCTTTGCTATTTTATAATAAAAGCATGGTTTTTAGGACTTTATAAACAAATTTGCTCTCTGGAGACCAATTATTTGCCTGCAGAAAACATTCAGTTGTTTTCTGTTTAACATTGTGAGGTTTGTCCTGTCGTTATTTTAGTATAATTATTTTTTCATCTATTAAGCAATGCCTTCCACGGTTTAATTACCAAAGATCTTATGGATATGATCCTTTTGTGAGTAAAAGGTATTCATAGCTAGAGGATTCCGAATATAGAAACTTGATAATAAATGAAGTAGAACATGGAATATAGAGTATCCTTGCTGGAAAATAATCTGGATTATGTGTTTTGTTTTCTCATCATAAACAGTGTTCACCTAGTTGTAAAGTTTAGTTTTCAAAGCGTTATAGCTTATAACTGAAACCACACCCATGTAGCCATGCCGATTTATGAGCCGTTTGAGATTTATGGGAGCTTTGTTGCCTCTGGCTAGAAATTGCCTCACTGTGTCCTGAGATCAATTTAAATCTTTTAACTACAGAACAAAATTGAGCCCATTAAAAAATATGGGGTTCTTGGTCACTTTTTAATAGTTCTAACTTTCCCAAGACAATACCCTTTGCAGAGGACTCTGTGATAATATTTAGAAGTGACTTCCTTTATTCTATTTAGTAAGAGTATATGACCGTGATCATAATATTTTTGTCTTATTTTGTTTGTTATGGTATTTCTATCTCAGAAAATTAACCATCATAAATGTTGTTTTTTAAATGTCTTTTTCTTTCATGGGCATTCCTATTTAGTCTATTTTCCCCAGGGAAATGCATTTCTATGTTTATAGTGTGTCAGTAGGTACATATTTGACTCTTAATGTACTATATAGCCAGATTTTTCTGGGATCTCTTAGATTATTTAAAGGAAAGTATAGTAAATTCACAGGTTATAAAGATGGCAAAGTAGACCAATAATAAATTTATACTCCTTTATCCTAATGGTGTTGGCTTTGTATAGATACAACTCTTCTGGTATTTCTATTTATTCAAAGATTTTAGAACTTCATAAAGAATGAACTTACAACAGTGCTATTGTATGCTATGTTTGTAAGAATATATAATAGTTTTCCATTAGGTAATAAATATATATGAGTATATTTCTCACTTTTCTACATTTTCGGAAAATCAAGTAATTCATGATCTTGCCCGTTGAAGCTGTATTTCTCCCTGTAGCTATCTTTTGTTTTAGGCTAGAATTATGTATTCAAGGTTGCCTGACTTTTGCATCTCTGCCTCTTTCTGTTTGGCAAAGCGCAGACTTCTTTGGTCAAAGTTAACCCTTGCTTGGTGACAATCTTGCCTTGACCCTAATGTTGCTATTGTTTAGCAGATTTTCACTGTTGTATGGGAGATGTCTCACCCAAGAAGTTTAAACAGGGGGTTGGTGAAATTGAGGCTGCATGGACAAACTTCTTTTAAGGTATATTATTTGCTATTAGTGCTTTTACCATGGAAGTTCCTTTGACTTTTTTCTCTTCTAGCTAATTTAGTTCACATATCCATGTGGTAATACATTGACCCCTTTCCAGGGCCTTATTTAGGGTGGCTTGTAGAAAAAACTGGTTAAACAGTGTCAGAGGCCAGGTGTTACCACTTCATGAGGTCCAAATTTCAGAGCTAGGTACAAAGGTAAATTAAATATCTTCTCTGTAGACCTTTTGTCTTGGAAAGGAACTTAATACACAGTTCAATGGGTAGTGGGTACTTAATAAATATTTGCTGCATGAATTAATGAATGGCTTCATACTTTTTCTGTATGCATTGGCTCTCTTGCTTTTTAAATCCTTCCTGCTGATGTACTAATGGAACACAACAGCGTAGTCTAGTGGTGGGAAGTATGGCTCTGAGCCACATTGCCTGGGCCTGGGACCGGACTTAGCTGTTCACTTGCTGTTTGACCTTCGGCAGTTTGCCTCCTCTCTCTGCGCTGTAGTTTCCTTGTTTGTAAAAGGAGTCTAATAACAGTTCCTACCTTACAAAGTTGTTGTGAGCATTGCATGAGTTAATACATGTAAAGTACTTTTAAAAGTGCTCAGTATGTAGTAAATGCTAAGTGATAGAAAGGATTATACAATTAGTTTGTATTAAAGCATGCTATTTAATACTGGATATTTTGTCATGTGAAGGAGAATTAATAGTGTTTGCCCATTATTTCTTTTCAAACACACTCTGAGTTTTATGTTGAATTTCCATTAAAGCAAGACGTTACATAATCATGTCATTTTCAGATTTATCATTATTTACTGCTTACCTGATGGATTTCATGATCTTTTGCTTATCTTTACCAATAGACACAATCAGTAGTTATGGTTGAGATTTTTTTTAGTGAAATTATTAGTGTTTGTGATTGCAATAACACAACAAAGAAAGGAAGACTCCCAAGGTTGAAAATGTATTATTCAAACCCAAGAAACATGTGAACTATAAGTTTGCATTGTAGTTTTTTAGCACATTAAAAATGTTGACTCTTTATTAATAATTGTGGTTAATCTTTATAGACTATTTGCAAATGGCTTTGTTCTTTATTTTTTTTTTTTAATCTCTCTTGTGTTCTTATCAATTTATGATCTTGACTGCTTTTATAAATATAGTAATGTGTTAGATGCAAATTTTGGTAGTTCTTTTGGATTTCTTAAATATAGCAGGATATTTTCATCAGTTTGTACTTTTCTTCCTGAGACAGATGTTGGTATCAGGAAAATAACACTTGTAACAGACAGATCAATTATTTCAGGAACACGGAGGTGCTAGGCCTTTTTCAAGAACATGAGATCATAAATCTCAAGAAAATCTGAGCACTGGTGTAATATTTTTCACCTAAAGTGGCATTCAAGGTCAAAGTTACCAATTAAATTTTAATACTGAGCTTTAAAAATTTCCCTCTGTCTAAGTATAGGAGATACAAGATTTATTTCAGTTTGCATGTGGGAAATGTATATACCAGGGCATGATTTCTTTTCATTGAGTCCATGTTTTTAGACTATTGCAAAACTATCTTCTATTTGTGGAATTCATAGCATTCTGTATTAAGTCCAGTCACTAGCTTTTAAAAAATTCAGGCCATTGTTCTGTGTTGTGCTGCCTGAAGATTAGATTGAGTAGATGGGAAATGTTTAGGAAGCTTACTCCTTTTCTGATCTTAAGTTACTGGTGTGCTTTGTGATAACCTTGAATAGTAAATGAACAGATAATGGTTAAATTGATGAATCCTTTCTGAGAGCTCTTGCTTCTCATGTGCTCATTGTTAAACTCTTGATTACAAAGAGATACATGTGACTTAGAAACACCGCCTTTTGTTATTCACCAAGGAGATGTCTTACTGTTTCTTCTTAGCAGAGACATCCTCAAAGACGGTCACTTTCTCTTTCAGGTGGATAGGATTGATACATAACTCCTGCCATTGCTATTTGTTCTTGTATGAAGAAAGGAATTCAAGAAATCTTTATTTCATTACCAACTTTCTTTCTTACATGATATTAAGCACAGGAATATCATTAATTATAAAGCATGTCCCCTCTCCACAGGGAATTTATATTCTACCTAGGAAAGGTATAGATACAGGTACAAAGTTTGATTGCATAAATGCATATATATAAATGTACATAAAAACATTTAAATGTTATATGCTATTTTATATATGGATCTATTATTGTATGACATAGTATCTTAAAAACAATTAGTGAACAGTTTGATAAACATAGAAAACTGTAATTATACAGTACATGCAAGTAGAAAAGACAAACAAATGTGGGCTCAAATTGCTTTTAAACTGGTTTATGTATAGATGTTTTCATTTATATAAATAAAAATTTGGTTATGCATGTTTATTGTACTGAATTATAATTTAATGTAATTCTCTTTAGTGTTTTAATTTCAAAGGATTACTAAATTCATTCCAAATCTAAACAGAATTGTTAGTTGCTTTTAGATTTGCTTTTAAACATAATATCAATATGCTTAATAGAGAAACCTTATATTTTAGTTTCCAAATAGAATAGATGAAAAAAATACCAACCTAGTATTTTTAAAATCACGAATCTAAAAATACATTTTTTTCTTCTTATATGAGGGAGACAAATGTATATTCTTGAAGGTTTCAGTAAATTGAGTTTTCTTCTATCATAAATAAGTAATAAAGTTTCCATAGATTATAATATTTCCATATTAATCATTCACATCTACTTGTCTTTTCTATCACCTCCAAAACCAATTTCTCATCAAATATAAATCCTAATCTAAATATTAGGAGCATAATTGTAAACGTGTAAAAATATATTTCACATTGAAAGAAATGAACTTGAAAAAAACTGGGACAGTAAACCCAGTGATTAAGATTCATTTCAGAGAAATGAGAAATCCAGACTGTGAACGAATGCTGGGGAGAATGCTCTGGTTTTTAAAATAGCTAATTTTTTTCCCCAGCTTCCATTAAACTATGGACAATAAAACTAGTTTTGCACTAAGGCAGTTGATCCCCTTATAGTTATTTTCAGGAGTACCTTTCTGATTCTCTTTACCATGATAATAGACTTCTGAAATGAGCATCACAGTCCCTAGCTCGCATCTTTTTTGAGTTGAGGAGGATTTATTTTTCCCTTTCAAGGCTCTTTCTGAGTTCACAAAAGATCACCACTGGTGTCGTCTGGCAGGTCTGCACACGCCTTGCCAAGCGAGTCTTTTACACTGGTCAGGTACCTTCAGAATAGGAACAAAGG